AAGCACAGATAAACTCAGTACCAAAATTGTGCAAAATATGGCAATCAAGGTTCTGTATGTACAAATAACTGAGGCAGATTTAAAATTTACTTGCTTTGCTGCAACACACTAACATAAATAATGTTAAATTATGCTGTCATTTAATGCAACTTAGAACCATCACTGAAATATATGAATCTAAATCATGACTGGCAGCAGAATTTTGGAGACTACAGTTGTTAATTGCTGAATCTGGAAGATGCAAAATTAAAAAAAAAAAACAACAGCTTACCTGTCCAGTCACTTCCTGAATTATCCTGGGCAGAAAATATTCCTCCACATGTCTAAATCAAGTTAAGAGATTGTGAATACATCATTACATAAATCACAGCATAAAAACTGGTTCTCATCTCACCTTCTAACATTGGTTAAAGAAACTCTATTGAAGTTGCACAGGGCTGTGTGTGTTTAAAAAATGAAAAAAAAAACCAACTTCATATTTTCTGTGGAATTAATCAGAAATGCTAACATTTCAAGATAGCAACATCTGTGCTTCAGAAAGGCAATGTAAGGAATGCCCCATCCTGGCCAGAAAGCAGAGCTAACAAAGAACACACCATGCAAGGCAAATGCCAGGTGCAAGTTTCTCTTTTTGCAGGGTTACTACACAAGCAGTGCAGAACCAGCTGGGGCTCAGAGGAGGATCAGAAGTGCTTTGCTGAGACCCTGGAGCGGGAAACATTCCCTGACTACAAGAGGAGTGCACAGCATCAGAGATGAGTGCCAGGTGTGTTCTGCAGCATCATAAGGTAGGCAGCTTTCATTCACTGCAGAAGTTCTGACAGAGCTCATCCATTTCAGTGTTTGCCAGCTCAGGACTGGGATGCAGCACTCAGGAGACAAACAGAGCCCCTCCAGTCCTGAGCTGGCTGTCCTTAGAAAGCACACACCAGGAAAATGACACTCTACACTGGCTGTAGGATAAAGCAGCTCCACTTTTTTTCCCCTCCAGCTCAGCAACTCAGAGTTTGACTGCTCAATAAGCTTCCTAACCAAGCTGCAACCATGTGGCTTGGCTGACTCTGTCCTGCTGCTCTCCCTGTAGCAGCCAGTGAGTATTTGCTGTAGATATTTCAACCCTGCTGCTGTGGCTGCAAACAGCAAGCTGTGTTTTTTAACACAATTCCTAGAGTTGCCAGAATACCTTGCTTTGCTCCATGGGGTGAACCATCTAAGTTCCCTGTAGTTTCCTGAATTTGCCAGTGATATTTTTGGTCTGATCAGAAGAATCTTCCTTAAATAAAACAAAACAGAAAAACTGGGTTAACACAGGATGTACAGCCAAACAAGCCTATATATGAACACTGATTAAGAACAACTTCTTTTCTTCTTTTATAATGTAACATTTTTAAAGTTTCTTGCAGACTCAAGGGGTTTTTCTGAACTTTTCCAGAAAGCAGTGGGAATTCAGTTTCCACAAATCAGAAAAGAAAAAATAGATCATGAGAAACCTTAGTTGTCTCTCAGAATTTAGCAAATATGAAGATAAACCCATCCCTCTAAGTAGCACTGAAGAATCTTGCTTGAAGGCCAAACTGGTGCGTGAAAAGATAATGTGTTACCTCACAAAACATATCAAGAACTACTCACTTATTTAAAAAGATCACTCGACAATTATAGCGAACATTTCTGTGCATAACAGGCCTGTGAAAATAAGAACCAAAATCAGCAATGACTACACTCATTAAATGAAATTATAAAAAGCTACAGAATCTACTTTACTGCAAAAACTATTCAGAAGACCTCACTGGAGGGAATCAAACAAAACAAAATGTGACGTTTTAGCTTCTAATTTTTTAGTTAAAGTAGTAGCTAGAAAAAATCTGAGTTACTGACTGTGGTGTCAATCTCAGATATATCAACTACTACCTGAGCCTTAGGAACATGAGCAGCACACCAGAAGATTCCCCATGGCTGGGCCAGGTTATTTAATCAAATGTGACCTCCCGTGACACTGCCAACCCAGTTCAAAATCAAACCAGCTTTACACAATTATATCAATACTAACACATTAATTTTAAAGATATAATTTATCACCCTTCCTTGTGTGTCAGCACAAGGCTTATAATGGCTTCAGTGAGTTTCACATATACTTATGTTGTCTGTCAGTGAAAACAGCCCCCACATTCCCACAAGACAATTTATAAAACCCTTTGAGTCACACCTCACACAAAGTCTGACCTGTGACAATAAGTACGAGACATTAAGATTTCCAATATATTACTGTAATTATCCAATATATAACTGTAATATATAACTGCAATTATCCTATTTCTCTCTTGAAGGGATTAGCCACCAGCAATCTTTGGAAGGATTATCTTTTAGAAAGTGTCTGCATGTTGCAATCCTGGTCATGGTAGTTAAAAGGGGAAAAGCAGTGCAGTTCCTAAGATATGTTTGAGAGTTTGGTGCAGAGCCCTCGCTATCCAGAGCATGGCACAAGCAGCACTCCCTAAGGACTTATACCTTTATCACAGGTTTACAACAACAAAATAAACTTACATTCCCACATCACAGATAATATCTTGAGTAGCTGGAGACTCCAAGAGCTTTTCCAGAACTTGAAACGAATGCAAGAGTGTGTCAGACTCATAAAAGTGGTCTGAGCAGCCATACCCACTGTGTATAGAAACAAGGAGAAACCAAAAATTCAGCAAGATGAGCACCAGAGCCAAAGAACCAACACTACTTCAGACAGGGAGCATTTCACCCACATACGTAATTTATATAGAAAATGAACAAACAGTGCTGTCAACACCATCTCTATTTACAGCATTTAAAACTCTGCAGCGTTCTATATCACCCCATGATATTCCTTCCAGGACAGCAGGCAGAAATCAAAGCACTACAGCTTCCCTGCAGGAAAACTCACTGAAATAGGTTAAAAATTGTCGCTTCCAGTCAGGTTTCCAAGACAAGAGACCCAGTCCTGTGCTCACCACTACAGTGATTTTCTTTGCCCCTTTGACGGCCGCACGCTCCAAGCACGGCTCTGGGCACTGCAGCGCCTCGGGGCCAATGCTCTTCCCGACTGTTCTTGCACAGTTCACTGGAATCGCACCAAAGCAGAGCCAGCAAAGCGCCCTTACCAGATTTCGAGCTCTGGCCCAAGCCGGTACCGGGCTCCTTTGCTCTTGGCGATGTCGATACCTGGAAAAGTGTTGGGAGTGCAGTGCGTGAAAGAGACAAGGGCTGCGCTGCGCCGCCCGCGGTGGGAGGGAGGGAGGGAGGGAGGAAATGAGGGAGGGAAGAGGCTCCTAATGGCCGGGGGCAGCCAGCCAGCCATCTCGACACTCACTTCTGAAAATCCTCTCCAGGTTGCCCTCAAAGTCTAGAGCCCACTGGTTCAGGGCGCAGGTGGCCACGGTCACCGCCCGGCCCATAACGGCCCCGACGCCTTCCGCGCTGCTTCCGGGGCGGAGCCGGGCTGGGGCTGCCGGTCCCTGCTCCGGTCCGTCCTCCCGGCCACTCCTCCCGGTCCGTCCTCCCGGTTCCTCCTCCGGCCACTCCTCCCGGTCCCTTCTCCCGATTCCTGCTGCGGCACCCGCAGCAGCCCCTGCACCGTCAGTGCTCCAAGCACGGGCTCCATGCAGAGCCGCTGCCCACCCGCGCTGTGGCGCCTCCGACGCCGGGCGCTGCTGCACGCCGTTCCGCACTTTCCGCAGTTTTATCTCCCCAGAGCCCTGGATAACGAGAATGCAGCCGTAGCCCGTTTCTTTACCCTGCAGCTTCTTTTAAGAAGTGTCCCTCAAACCGAGTTCAGAGTTCGGGTGCTGAAGGTGACTGGAACAGGGTGTTGTGCTCATTTCAGCATCATCCCAGCAGCTCTCAGGGTGCCTTCAAAAGCCAATCTCCTCTCTTATGTCCCTCATGACATATTTTGCTGCTGTGAGCCGCCTTACACGTGGGCGGCCTTCTTTCTGTACTAGAATCAGAATTATTTAGGTTGGAAAAGACCTGTAAGATCACTGAGTCCAACCACTAATCCAGCACTGCCGAGCACACCACTAAAGCTTGGGACTAAAGCATGTCCCCAACCACCACATACACACACGGCTTTTACCTCCAGCAATGGTGACTCCACCACCACCCTGGGCAGTCTGTTCCAATGCCTGCCAACACTTTCCATGAAGAAACTTTTTAATCTGTGATCTAAACAGGCCTTAGCACAACTTGAGGCCATTTCCTCTTCACTTGTTGCTTGTCAATTGGGAGAAGAGGGTACAGGCTACAGCCTCTCTTCAGGGAGTTGTAGAATGAAAGGTCCCTTCCTTGAGCCTCCTTTTCTCCAGGCTGAGACTGCATCCCCCCTTCCCCCCCAGGTCCATTCCCTTCTCTGGACACACTCCAGCAGCTCAATGTCTTGAATTACGGTGCCCAAAATTGACCCCACAATTCAAGGTGGGGCCTCAGCAGTGCCCAGAACACAGGGATGGTCACTGCCCTGGTCCTGCTGGCCACACTACTGCTGACAATGACAGGATGCCATTGTCCTTCTTGGCCACCTGGGCTCGTGTTCAGCAGCTCTCGGCCACCATCCCCAGGTCTTTTTCTGCGGGACCATTGGAAATCGCACAGAGCGGTCAGTGCAATGTGGAGAACTTAGTAACTCCTCAAGGCGGCTCAGTCTGGCTTAGGGGATCCATGCTGTGACCCAAGTGCAGATGTAAGCTATTTCCCTGGACACCATTCTCCCTTTATCGGCGAGCCGGGGTTTATCCGGTGCGCCGGGGTTTATCGGCGCGCTGGGGTTTATTCGGTGCGCTGGGGTTTATACGCGCTGGCTCCCGGCGGAGCGCAGGTCCCTGGGCAGGGGGCGGGACCCGCGACCCTCGCGCCCCTCGGCCCATGGGACGAGCGCGCGCCACCAATGGGGAGCCGCTGCATGGGCGGGCCGCGCCGGGGATTGGCTGAGGCCTTGGGGCGGGGGCGGGGCCCGGAGGGGCCGATAGCGCCTGAAGGGGCCGCAGGTGGGACAGAGGCGGAGCCGGGGTGGTCGTGGGGAGCGGAGTGAAAGTGGTGCCCGATCAGTTGTCCCTGATCAGTGATCTCCTGTCAGTGATCCTCGGTGAGAGAGCGGCTCCGGCCCCGCAGGTGAGTGCGTTCCTTCCTTACCATGTCTGGGATCCGGCCTGGAAGGGAGCAGCCGTGTGGGCAAAGGGAAGCGGCGAGCCTCACATCGCTTCTGAAAAGAACCTACGGGGGGAGGACTGAAGGAAATGGCCTAAAGGCGAGGTAGTGGAGATTGGGGTTTGATGCGAGAGAGTTTTTTTGTGGTCAGTCGTGGGAACAGGTTGCCCAGGGGAAGGTGGATGCAGAAGGTAGGGCCGGGCTCAGTCCATAGATAATGGAGTAATTGGGTAATGGATTAATGGAATAATTATCCATCAGATAGTGGATCGGGTTTGCCATGATGTGACATGTACAGCTGGGACGTCAGTCCATAGTGCCAGTTATAGGATGATGATCTTTAGCATAACAAGTGTTTGATCAGAATGAAAGCAAGCTACAGTGCATGTTCCGCAGAGATAGCTGAGTGGTGCCAAGTAAATAATTCTCTATTCCCACTGATTTTTTTACTTAGATGGGATTATGTCTTGTTTTCTATGGTGTAAATGACATATATGGAGCAAGGACTCTGTATCTAATTGACAGGGTCCCTTACCAATAATGTTACAACAGTAACAATTTCTCAAATTTAAGAAGGCAGTTAAGTTACAAAGGTTTAGGACAATGTGGTGCACATTTTTTTCTCCTTTTACATCTACATGTAAGTAGTAAGTGATTTATTATCTGTGCATCTTAAAAGAAATTTCCAGTTAGTGAGAAGTTTAATGGATTACTTTGATATCAGTGTTTTGATTAGGTTTTGCTGAATGTAAGTTCATAGGGAATTAATTGGTGAAAGTTTTTTGCTTCCTGTCCTCCACCCCTAAATTTTGTGTGGTCTGCAGTCTATGTAATAGATTTTAGTAACATTTATTTGTGATTCTCTTGTAGAGGTATAGGAATTATTGAGAACCAGCTGGAGTAATGGGATTCATATTTTCTTTCCTACAGGACATCATGGCTGCCCATCAGGAGAAAAAACTTGCTGAAGAAAGAAAACACCGAAACATGCAAAATGATACTAAAACATCTCAAGGCCAGTGGGGGAGAGCATGGTGAGAGAGGCCGATGACCCCAAGTAGTCCTTGTATTTCCAATTGCTTCATTCTTACTCTTAGAGATGCTGTATTCCTTTTAAACTTCCCTCTGTTAGTAACAGCTTTTTGTGTTGCTCTGCTCCAGAAAGCTCATGGGTACTTTGCTGTAGCAACAGGTGCTGAAGAAAAGTTCTTCAGGTTTTTTAAGGCAGAGAGTTTTCCAGACGGTTTGGGTTAAAACACACTCCTTGCAAAAAAGAAAAGCAAGTCATAAAAATTGGTCAAGTTTCTGATTCTTTCAAGGAAATAAATATTTCCTGAGGTTTGGAAAACAGGCATTCTGGTATCTGTGGCTTTCCCTGCTGACAAGTCCTGCTGCAGCAAGATTTATGACTCATGTCCCAGCTGTCAAAGAGTTGGGCAGGTATTATTAGGGCATTGTACTGCAGCTGGGAGCAGCAGCAGCGGCACAGGAAATCCAGCGTATGGCTGTCCAAGGTCTGTCTTTTCCAAGTTTCCAAGCTTTGCATAATGTTCTTGGGATTCCACTATCACTTCCAACTGAATACTCCACCAGTTAGAGCCATGATTGCCATCAAAAAACGTGAAGTGTGTAGTAAAAGTCTGGTTTTGGGGGGGGAGTTTTTGTCTAATCTCTTGCTCTGATCAACTGTCATAGTTTTAGAGCAGTTTGTGGCAAAGTATGTTCCTTGCTGAGCTTTTTATGGCTGTTTGACCCCCAGACATGTCTGTGCCTTGAGCACACATTTCCAGTTTTCATCCAGTTAAGTCTAGAAGGTGCACTGAAAAAATTGTCTGATGTAATTCATCTGTCTGAAACCTGGGGAGACAAAATGCTCTGTTTTGGATTACAGGGAGGTGGACTGGTTTTCCTTGGCAAGCATCCTTTTCCTGCTGATATTTGCACCGCTGATTGTGTATTACTTCATCATGTCCTGTGACCAGTACCAGTGCTCTCTGACTGATCCACTCCTGGACTTGCTGACTGGGAATAAGCATCTGTCTGACATTTGGAACAGGACTCCCATGCTGACCTACAGGGCTGCTGCCATTTATTCCCTTTGGGTCACTTTCCAGGTACATTACCGAGCTATGATCTGGATGCAGTGTCTGCTTTCTCCCACAGGTGTTGGATGAATCCTTTTACACAAAGGTTGCACTGGCATTTACTCTTTGGTGTTTCACAATTTCCAAGGTGTTATGTACTTGGAAAATAAGTAAAATGGGAATATACAAAAATATTCCTTGTGTGACTTATTCCTTAATGAGGTTTTTAAGAAAAAGCACCTATATAACAACAATATCCATTTGTTTTAAATTAATACACAAGAAATAAATCAAAGGACAAGGATCTGAATGTAGTTACCAACTGTCCTGCCTCCCCACCAAAAAAAGATGACAGCCTTACATAAAATACATCTTTAGAGCTGTAGAGTAGCTTAGATGTATTACTAGCCTAAAAGCACAACAGCTAAATATTGCCATTTTGTCTTACCCAATACTTACTAGAAACTTAGGAGAAATGTTATATTTGGTATTAATATGTGAGGGATAGTGTTTTGAGGGATTTTGTCTTGTCTGTACTTAGTGTGAAGGCATTCTCTCTCTTTTAGGTGTTTTTGTATGTGTCCATTCCTGATTTCTGCCATAAATTTCTGCCTGGATATGTGGGAGGTGTACAAGAAGGTGCTGTCACCCCTGCTGGTAAGGTCTTCCTTGGAATATATGCACACCATGTAATCTTCTGAAATTAAAGTATTTCTGTTCTTAGAGTCTTTAATAACCCATGTGTAACCAGAGGAAACATGGACATAAATGCTCTCACCTTCCTCACATGTTCAGTTCAAACAAAACTAGAAAGCAATCTAGGTCATCTTTTAGAATAAGTTATAGCATTTCTATCTCTTATAATTAGTAAAACTCTTGATCTGGTAGGCACCACACCAGCAATGGAAAAGTACTGGTTGATAGTTTTGGTACTTAATATAGTACCAGCAATAGTCAGTGGACTATTGCTGGTATTTGACAAGATAGTTTTACCTGCTCAAGCTCCATTAACCCAAGGGACTTGGACAAAATGTGTGATGTGAACTGTTACTGGTGGCTTGTTATTCTAGTCAGTTGTGGGGAAAGTCTAAATTCAGTTTTGTGAGGAGAAAAACTCAGTACAACAAAGCCTGATGGGTACAGCAGAGTCTAATGGAACTTCCAGAAAATTAAATACCTTTTGAGGTATTTAACTGGGCAATGAGGAGAGAGAGGTTATTTAATGAGCACTTGATTGAGCTTCTGTGTATTCTGTGCATATTAATTAAAACCTGCATTAATGTAGGGTCACTAACACTCCATTTTTTCTTCATATTTTAGGTGTTGTGAATAAATATGAAATAAATGGACTTCAGGCCTGGATCATTAGCCATGTGCTTTGGTTTGCAAATGCTTATTGCTTCCACTTCTTCTCACCTACCATCATTTTTGACAACTGGATTCCTCTCCTGTGGTGTGCCAATATCTTGGGATATGCAGTGTCCACCTTTGCAATAATCAAAGGCTACTTTTTCCCTACTAATGCAAAAGACTGGTATGTGGATTTTAGTAGTGAGAAAATACTAGGTATCAGAGATTAAAATTGTTAAATAGAAATAAGATATATAAATTGTATGACAGAGTATATTTCACTGGCACAGAGAGCTAAGCCAGTGTATGGCAGTGATTCGTTCCTTCACTAGCACCATCCCCTATGTTTCTTGCTCCACACCATGGATCTGGCAGCCTCAATGTCACAGATACACCCATCCTAAAAATAGTTATACTTAGACTGTTCAGAAGTGTTACCAAGAGTAAACTCAGGCACCTCTGAAATTCTACAATTTAGGTCTATTAATGTAATACTTTGGTCGGGCCAGTTTGTGTTACCTTGCACAACGTTACATGGTTTTATGATTTTTGTTATCACTACATTCTTGATCTGAATTGTGTAGGCAGAGTAGCAGTTAGCTGTATTTGTATATAACTGTGTGCATTTCTAATTTTTTTTTTTTTACAGCAAAATCACTGGCAACTTCTTTTATGACTACATGATGGGGATTGAATTTAACCCTCGAATAGGGAAGTGGTTTGATTTCAAGCTGTTCTTCAATGGGCGCCCTGGGATTGTGGCCTGGACTCTTATCAACCTCTCCTTTGCTGCCAAACAACAGGAGCTGCACGGTGAAGTGACAAACTCCATGATCCTTGTCAATGTCCTCCAGGTAAATTCTGAGGAGGAAATTAAGAAACAAGTTGGGAAATAAGCTAGTATGAAAGTAAGAAAAAAACTCCTTCCATGGAAATGAAACTGAAGCATTTTTCCTGGCCTGAAACAAGCTCATTCAGCAATGGGACTTCAAGTTTGAGATCATATCACAAGGCAGAACAGACATTAAGCTGATGCTGTTAAACAGGGTAACTGGTGAAAATGCTCCGTTATTAATGTGAAATTATTATGTTGCAGGGTATTTATGTTCTGGACTTCTTTTGGAATGAAGCCTGGTACTTGAAAACCATTGATATCTGCCATGACCATTTTGGATGGTATTTGGGCTGGGGAGACTGTGTTTGGTTGCCTTACATCTATACTTTGCAGGTAAAAATGTGTACACTGTGTATTTTGGGCTAACAGGAGTGAAACTTTCCAGAAACATTCTTTCTAGAAGTTTAATTGTTCCTGAAATGTTTCTGTGTAGTCCCACTGTTGAGAAATTATTGCAACATTCTTTGTAACAATTCTCCTGTAGGAAGGCTTCCTGTCCCGGCATGGCTTTGACATCTTTTCCTCTCCTGCCCTTCTTTTTTGCTCATTTCTGTCATTGACAATTGTGTCTGCATACTTTTCTAAATCGTTTCAGTCTCCTTTCTTTTTACTCCTTGTTGAGGGTCTTATGGTTAGTGGTGGTTTGTTTGTGTTTTGTTCCTTGGGTTTTTCCTTCTGTCCAGTTTGCATCCTTGCAACTTCTCTCTTCTTGTTTCAAGGAATTGATCTGGCATGCTGAGCCTCTGTTGGAAGTAAATAGCTGATTGTTTTTTGTGCTCCCCAGGGTCTGTACTTGGTTTACCATCCCGTCCAGCTACGCACAGATTATGCCATGGGGGTCTTGATGTTGGGCTTGCTGGGTTATTACATCTTCAGAATGACCAACCACCAGAAGGACCTGTTCCGTCGCACCAATGGCAACTGCAGGATCTGGGGGAAGAAGCCAGAGTACATTGATTGCTCCTACATGTCAGTGGATGGCACCAAGTACTACAGCAAGCTGATGACCTCGGGATTCTGGGGCTGGGCACGTCATTTCAACTACACAGGAGACCTGATGGGCTCGCTAGCCTATTGCCTGGCTTGTGGCTTTGAGCACCTGCTGCCTTACTTCTACATCATTTACATGACCATCCTGCTCACTCACCGCTGCATCAGGGACGAGCACCGCTGTAGCAGCAAGTATGGGAAGGACTGGAAGTGCTACACTGCTGTAGTGCGCTACCGGCTCCTACCCGGGGTGTTTTAAGGCTAAAATATGCAGGATGCAGGGGAAAGAAAAAAGAAGAAACGTACAGGCATACCATGTTTAAAGTAAGTGAAGTGAGGCACTGAACTGCACCATTTTTTTAGAAGACTCTTGTAATTGGAATACCCCTCTGAATCACTCCATTCCCAAATTAACTTGGAGTTTAAGAAAAGATGCTATGTATTGAGACTCCTGAGAAATCCCAAAGCTGGGAGGTAGCCTTACCCTTGGTGGTAGCAGGGTTCTGGAAGCAGTTTGCAGTAATTCAGGAGAGAAGAAAAGAGTTCTGTCACCTCTTTAGGAAAGAGGTTTTCTGATGCAGCTGCTTGTGGCCATCAGAACCTACAATTGAGAACAGCTGCAAAGGCGGTTTGATTGTTGATTGCTTGTCAAGACATGAACAGTGGAAATACTGAAGAAGCTGTTCCGAAATAACTGTTATAATCTAAAACAAAAGTGAAAACTGTCATAAATTAGTGCAATTTTCAGCACCTGACAATATAGAACATGACCAACTGAATTTTATTTTGCTACTGAAACCAGACTTTGTGAAACTACTGAGCTGAGCGTCCTTGGGCTGGAGTAGAGTTACTTTTTTTTCCTAATAGCTGCTATGGGCATAGTTTTGAATTTGAGCTGAGACAATGTTGATAACACAGGGGTATTATCCTGAGCAGTGTTTACACAGCATCAAGGCTTTTTTTGCATCTCACCCCCACCCACCACGGAGTGGTCTGAGTGAGTACAAGGAGCTGGGAGGGGACGCAGGCAGGACAGCTGACCCAAGGAATATCCCAGGCCATATGATATCGTGCTCAGCACATAAAGCTGGAGGAAGAAGGAGTGGGGGATGTCAGGAGTGATGGTATTTGTCATTTCAAGTCACAATTACGTGTCATGGAGCCGTGCTTTCTTGAAGATGGCTGAACATCTACCTGCAGGTGGCAAGTGTGGAATAGATCCCCTATTTTGCTTTTTTTGTGCGCAGTTTTTCCTTAACCTATTAAACCATGTTTATCTCAACCTGTGAGTTCTTTCCCTTTCCTGATTCCCTCCCCCATGCTACTGTGAAGGAGGGAGCAAGGAGCTGTATGGGGATGTGTGGCATTCACATTCTCTGAAAAATCCCTTCACCCATGATTTTCTCCAAGGAAGCTGAGAACCCTCAGAGAAATAGGAAAACAATAATTACTTCATTTGTTTCTGATGTCTTTAGATCATGTGGAATGTGTTTGAGATTGTTTACCCATAGGTGATTGCTTCATTGGTTTCTGGTGTGAGTGTTTTCACTCAGTGGCGAATCCGTGAAAAGCTGTGTTGAGATTGGAGAGAGTCACGACTTTTCATTATTACCTTTTTAGCCTTCTGTAAATATCCTTTCCACATTATTTAGTATAGTTTAGTGTAGTATCCATTAATATAATATAGTGTCTTAAAATAACAAATTAACCGCCTGAGAACATGGAGTCAGACTCATCATTCCTGCTTTCATCTGGGAGCAGCACAAATGCAATAGTGGCAGTTTGAGTGTGGGAAGCATGTGTGCCGTGATGAATTTCTGGAGATGGCCGCCACCCTGAACTTCTGCGCATCCTGCGCAATACGGAATTTTAGGAGCCAGCAGGCCACTCTGGGCAACAGGCGCCCAAATTCCAAAGCCACCACTTTTCCCTGGGAAACAAAACTCACTATCCCCGGTTCCTCATGGCAGATTGCAAGAGCTACTTGGCCCCGTCAAACCTGCCCAACTTGCAAGTGGTGCCAGCGTAGGTCTGGGAAGCATCTTGCACATTGCGGAATTTCAGGAGCCAGCCAGCCACTCCAGGCCACAGGCCCCCAGACACAAATGCTAGCCACTTTCCCGGGCAAGCAAAACTCACCACCCAGGTTTCTGATGGCAGATTACAGGACACACATGGCACTGTCAAACCAGCACCAGTTCCAAGTGATGCCCGCTCAGGGCTTTGAAGCATCCTGCGCAATGCGGAATTTGAGGAGCCAGCCGGCCACTCCAGGCCACAGGCCCAAAACAAAAAGCCACCCCTTTTCCCTGGGAAACAAAACTCAACCAGTCCAGGTACCTGATGGCAGATTGCAGGAGATACTTGGTGCTGTCAATGAAGCCCGATTTCTAGCAGGTGCCAGCTTGGGTCAGGGAGGCATCCTGCGTATCGTGGAAATTCAGGAGCCAGCTGGCTACGTTGGGCCACAGGCCTCCAGAAAAAAACGCAGGCCATTGTCCCTGACAAACAAAACTCACCTGCCCAGCTCGCTGATGGCAGATGGCAGGAGCAACTTGGCACTGTAAACCCAACCTCAGTTGGCACTGGTGCCGGCTTGGGTCTGGGAAGCGTCCTGCGCAATGTGGATGTTCGAGAGCCAGACGGCAACTCCTGGCCTCAGGCACGAAAACACAAACCTCAGCCCTTTTCCCTGGCAAACTGAACTCACCGGCCCCGGTCCTTCACGGCAGATTGCAGGAGCCACTTGACACTGTCAAACCAGCCCAAGTTGCAATTGATGCCAGCTTGGGTCTGGGAACCATACTGCATATTACGGAATTTCACGAGCCAGCTGGCTACTCCTGGCCAAAGGCCACTGAACACAACCCTTGGCCCTTACGCCTGGCAAACAAAATTCACCTCCCCCGGTCCTTGATGGCAGATTACAGGATCCACTTGGCACTGTCAAACCAGCCCGAGTTGGCACTGGTGCCAGCTTGGGTCTGGGAACCATCTCGCGTATTGCTGAATTTCATGAGCCAGCCGGCCACACCCGGCCACAGTCCCCCAAACAAAATCCTCAGCTCATTTCCATGGCCAACAAAACCCAGCTACCCCGGTTCCTGCTGGTAGATTGCAGAAGCTACTTGGCACTGTCAAACCAGCCGGACTTCGAACTGGTGCCAGCTTGGGTCTGGGAACCATCCTGCCTATTGCAGAATTTCAGGAGCCATCCGGCCACTCCAGGCAAGAGGACACAAAAAAGAAAATTCAACCCTTTTCCCAGCAAAGAAAACTCACAAGCCTCGGTTCCAGGTGGCAGATTGCAGGAGCCACTTGGCACTGTCAAACCAGCCTGAGTTACCAGTGCTGCCAGCTTGGGTCTTGGAAACATCCTGCGTATTGTGGAATTTCAGGAGCCAGTCGGCCACTCCGGCCACAGGCCCCCAAAAATGAACCTCGGCTCTTTTCCCTGGCAAACAATGGTCACCTGGCCCGGTTCATCATTGCAGATTGCAGGATCCACTTGGCACTGTCAAACCACCCAAGTTACCAGTAGTTCCAGCTTGGGTCTGGGAACCATCCTGCATATTGCGGAATTTCAGGAGCCAGACAGCCACTCCCAGCCACAGGTCCCCAACATAAACCTTGCCTCTTTTCCCTGGCAAAAACACCTTGCCTGCCCCGGTTCTTGATGGCGGATTGCAGGAGCCACCTGACACTGCTAAACGAGCCTGACGTGGCACTTGTGCCAGCTTGGGTCTGGGAAGCATCCTGTGTATGTCAGAATTTCAGGATCCAGCCGGCCACTCTCAGTCATAGGCCCCGAACACAAACCACAGCTCTTTTCCCCTGCAAACTAAACTCACCATAGTTGGGATTCATAAAATTAGAGGGTTTTGAGAAAGTGGTAAAAAAGACAGGCCTCAGACAGCAGATTTTTGAACATTGCTAATACAGCAAAATGTTTTCTAAGCAGTAGAGCAGACGTGAGAAGTAGAACAATAAGCCCCTGTGATGTGCCCTTAAAGGTTGCAACAAGTTTATTTAATATATATCTTTAGAAGGTTAGTATGAATGAGTCTCTGTGCTCTGTCTCTCATAAACGAGCCATTGTGTTAGAAAATAACTCCCTATTGTGTTAACTACCATTACGTGTGTTTCATATGATTGGATAGAATTATTGTCAATATGTTTTGCTCTATGTGTGATTGGCTGAAACCTAGAGTGAGAAGCCTTTATACTACCCTGTAACGTGACATTTCCTTGGCATTCCATTTGAATCAGCGGGCTGTAAACATGCTGTCTCCATTGTCCTAACAATGTACTGAGACTGATGTGTGAAATAAACAGCTCACGATACTGATTCGGACTATCCCGTTCCGTTCACGTCTGTAAATAGTTTGCCGACGGCAAAAACCATCCCCGGTCCTTGATGGCCGATTGCAAGAACCACTTGGCACTGTAAAACCAGCCCGAGTAAGCACTGGTGCCAGCTTGGGTCTGGGAAGCATACTGTGTGTTGCAAAATTCCAGGAGCCAACCGGCTGCTCCCAACCACAAGTCCCCGAACGCAGAGCTCGGCTCTTTACCCTGGCAAAAAAAAACGTGAGTGCCCCGGTACTTGATAGCAGATTGCAGGAGCCATTCAGCACTGTCGAGCCAGCCCGAGTTGGCACTGGTGCCAGCTTGGGTCTGGGAACCATCCTGCGTATTGCAGAATTTCAGGAGCCAGTCAGACACTCAGGGCCTTGGCGCCTCACTCAGGCGACTGAACACAAACCTCGGCCCTTATCCCTGGCAAACAAAACTCACCTGTCCTGGTTCCTGATGGAAGGCTGCAGGAGCCACTTGGCACTGTCATACCAACCCGAGTTACCGGTGGTGCCATCTTGGGTCTGGGAAGCCTCCCGTGTATTGTGGAATTCCAGGAGCCAGCTGGCCACTCCGGGCAAGAGAACCCCAAAATGCAGATCCGGCCCTTTTCCCATCAAACAAATCTCACAAGCCTCGATTCCAGATGGCAGATTGTAGGAGCCACTTGGCGCTTTCAAACCAGCCCGATTTGGCACTGGCGGCAGCTTGGGTCTGGGAACCATCCTGCGTATCAGGAAGTTCAGGAGCCAGCCAGCCTCTCCCGGCCTCAGGCTCCTGAACAAAAACCAAGGCACATTTCCCTGGCAAACAAAACTCACCTGCCCCAGTTCATCATGGCAGACTGCAGGATCTACTGGGCACTGTCAAACCAGACCGACTTGGCGCTGGTGCCAGCTTGGGTCTGGGAACCATCCTGCGTATTGTGGAATTTCAACAGCCACCAGGCCACAGCCACCTAGAGGTCTCCGAACACAAACCTCGGCCATTTTCCCTGGCAAAAAAAACTCACCTGCCCCAGTTCATCATGGCAGATTGCAGGATCCACTGGCTGCTGTAAAACCAACCCAACTTGGCACTGGTGCCAGCTTGGGTCTGGGAACCATCCTGCGTGATGTGGAATTTCAGGAGCCAGCCGGCCACTCCCGGCCACTAGCCGACAACACAAACCAGGGGACTTTTCCCTGGCAAACAAAGGTCACCTGGCCCGGTTCATAATGGCAGATTGCAGGAGCCACTTGGCACTGTCAAACCACCTGAGATACCAGTTGTTCCAGCGTGGGTGTGGGAACCATCCTGCGTATTGTGAAATTTAAGGGGTCACCAGGACACTCTGACCACAGGCCCCCAAACAAAAATCAGGGCACATTACTTGGCAAACAAAACTCACCTGCCACAGTTCTGGATGGCAGATTGCAGAAGCCACTGGGCATTATCAAAGACACCCGTCTTGGCACTGGAGCCAGCTTGGGTCTGGGAACCATCCTGCGTATCGTGGAATTTCAGGAGCCAGCCGGCCACTCCCGGCAACAGGCCCCTGAAAACAAACCTCGGCCCTTTTCCCGGCAAACAACAACCACCTGACCCGGTTCTGGATGGCCGATTGCAGGAGCCACATGGCACTGTAAAGCCAGACCGACTTGGCACTGGTGCCAACTTGGGTCTGGGAACCATCCTGCGTATCGTGGAACTTCAGGACCCACCAGGCGTCTCCCGACCACTGGCCCCTGAACACAAACCTCGGCCCTTTTCCCTTGCAAAGAAAACTCACCTGCCCTGCTTCTGGATGGCCGATTGTAGGAAACACTTGGCACTGTTAAACCAGCCCGACTTTCAAGTGGAGCCATTTTTGATCTGGGATACATTCAGTGTAACGGAAATTTGAGGACCCAGCCAGACTCTCCCACCCGCAGGCTCCTGAACAAAAACCAGGTCACTTTTCCAGGGCAAACAAAACTCACCTGCCCTGCTTCTGGATGGCAGATTGCAGGAGCCACTGGGCACTGTCAAACCAGCCCGACTTGGTGATGGTGCCAGCTTGGGACTGGGAACCATCCTGCGTATCGTGGAATTTCAGCAGCCACCATGCCACTCTCGGCCACAGGCTCCTGAAAACAAACCTCGGCCCTTTTTCCTTGTAAACAAAACTCACCGGTCCTGGTTCTGGATGGCTGATTGCAGGAGCCACTGGGCACTGTCAAACCAGCCCAACATACAAGTGGCACCGTTTTCAGTCTGTGATCCATCCTGCATATCGGGAATTTCAGGACCCAGCCGGCCTCTCCCGGCCTCATGCTCCTGAACAAAAACCAGGTCACTTTTTCCAGGAAAACAAAACTCACCTGCCCTGGTTCTGGATGGCAGATAGCCGGATCCACTGGGCACTGTCAAACCAGCCTGACTTGGCACTGGTGCCAACTTGGATCTGGGAACCATCGTGCGTATCGTGGAATTTCAGGAGCCACCAGGCCACTCTCGCCACAGGACCCCAAACACAAACCACGGCACATTACCCTTGAAATTAAACTCACCTCCCACGGTTCTGGATGGCGGATGGCAGGGTCCACTGGGCACTGTCAACCCAGCCCGACTTGGCACTGGTGCCAGCTGGGTTCTGGGAACCATCCTGCGTATGGTAGAATATCAGGAGCCAGAGGGCGGCTCCCGCCCACAGGCAGCCGAACACAAACCTCGGCCATTTTCCCTTGCAAGCAAAACTCACCTGCCCCGGTTCTGGATGGAAGA